TGTTGCTATGCTCTGGATGGTGTCAAGCTTCTTGAGTGGTGTTGAAGTGGTGTTCATCCAAGCAAGTGGAGAGTATCACATTCCTGACTTGTATCTTGTAGGAGGAAGGCAGTGACGAAAGTTATTTGGAAAGGAAACAAGGTCTTGATTAACTGAGTCCGTGGGCTGAGGAATGGCAGATGGCGTTTAATTGAGATTAATGCAAGATGTTGCATTTTGGTAAAGCAAACCAGGGTAGGACATACACAATCGGGGGGCCATCGGGAGTGTTATAGAACAGAGATCTAGGAGCACAGGTTCATACTTGTTGAAAATGGAGTCTCAAGTAGACAGGGTAGTAAGGTAACAAGGTGCAGGGCTGGATGAACACAGCAGGCCAAGCAGCATCATAGGAGCAGAGAGGCTGACGTTTCGGGCCTAGACCCTTCATCAGAAAAGGTAGACCTTCGGTGTCAGAGATAGTAGGAACTGCAGATGCTGGAGAATCTGAGATAACGAGGTGTAGAGCTGGATGAACACAGCAGGCCAAGCAGCATCGGAGGAGCAGGAAGGCTGACGTTCCGGGCCTAGACCCTTCTTCAGAAATGACCTTCGCTGTGCTAGTTTTCATCAGTCAGAGCATTAAGTATAGGAGATGGGACGTCTTGTTGCAGCTGTATGAGATTCTGAGGCCATATTTGGAGTACTGTGTGCAGTTCTGATTGCCTTACTGTAGAAATTGTTAAACTAGAAAGAGTGCAGAAAAGATTTACTAGGATGCTACCTGGACTGAAGTTTGAGTTATAAGGAGAGGTTAGACAGGCTGGGACTTTTTTCCCCTAGAGCATAGGAGACCGAGGGGGTCACCTTTTATATGTATATAAAATCATGAGGCGTAGATAGCAGATAGCTTTTCCCCACGGTAGGTGAATCTAAAACTAGAGGGCATAGGTTTAAGGTGAGAGGGGAGAGATACACAAGTGTCCAGAGCAGCATATGTTTTAGAGGGTGGTGAGAGTCTGGAACAGGCTGCTGGAGGTAGTGGTGGAAGCGAGTACAATTTTGTCATCTAAGAAACATTTAAACAGGTATATGGATGGGATAGGAATGGAGGGATATGGACCAATTGCAGGCAAATGGGGTTAGCTTAAACTGAAAAATGGGTGGCGTGAGCAAGTTGGGCCGAAGGGCCTGTTTTCATGCTGTAGACCTCGATGACTATGACAGGTTTTGGGAAGTCAGGAGATGAGTTATTTGTTACAGGAGTCCTAGCCTCTAACTTTCTCTTGTTGCCATAGTATTAATAGGGTGAGTCCAGTTCTGTTTCTGGGTAATGTTGACTGATATTACCAGTTGGGAGGTTGTCGACATGCTCGCTGAGCCGGTGGGTTTGGTTGCAAACGTTTCATCATCCTGCTAGGTAACTTCATCAGTGTGCCTCCGGTGAAGCATTCGTTGTTCTGTCCTGCTTGTTATTTATATTCCTCAGTTTTTTGGGGTGTTTGGTACCACTTCCGGTTGTATTTCTTAGTGGTTTGTACACCGGGTCTAATTCAATGTGTTTGTTGATGGAATTCTGGTTAGAATACCAGGCCTCCAGGAATTCCCTGGCACGTCTCTGTTTGGCTTGTGTGATTGTGGATGTGTTGTCCCAGTCGAATTAGTGTCCCTTGTTGTCTGTGTGTAGTGAGACAAGTGAGAATTGGTTGTGTCGCTTGGTGGCTAGTTGGTATTTGTTTATTTGTATGGTCAGTTTTTTTTTTCCGGTTTAGCCCATGTAGTGTTTCTCATAGTCCTTGCATGTTGTTTTGTATATTACAGTGGTTTTACTGGTTTTGGGTATGGAATCCTTTACTTTCATCAGTAGCTGTCATATGGTGGTGGTTGGTTTGTGGGCTAGTCTGATACCTAGGGTTGTGAGTAGGCTTGTAGTCATCTCTGAAATGTCCTTGATGTATGATAGGGTGATTAGTGAGTCTGGTCGTGTTGTCTTCCTGTTTGTGGTCTGTCTCGGAAGTAATGGTGGATTGTGCTTTTTGGGTATCCATTCCTTTTGGAGACTCCATATAGGTGCTCCTGTTCTGCTTTGCGTAGTTCTGGGTTGCTGCAGTGTATTGTAGCTTGTTTAGATAGTGTTCTGATGCAGCTCTGTTTGTCCATTTATTTCCAGAAAGGGTAGTCGGTTGTTGTTCTCCTCTTCTTTTGTGAATTTTATCCTGGTAAGAATGTTGTTTGTGTTGGTGGGTTTTTTCTAATCTTGTGTGTTTAATAATCACGAATATGTCATCTACATATCAGACCCGAAGTTTAGGTTGTCTCGTGAGGAGTGCTTCCATTCTAATCTTTTGCATTACAGCTTCTGCAATCAGCCCTGATATTGGGGATCTCATTGGTGTTCCCGTTGATTTGTTTGTATATGCTGTCGTTGAAGGTCTTCTCAAACTTTATTGCCAGTGGGGTTTCAGCAATGGTAATATCATTGAATATCAAGGGGCAATGGTTTGATTCTCTCTTAGAGTTGGTCATTGCTTGGCAACTGGGTGGTGTGAAAGTTACTTGCAACTTTTCAGCTTAACCCTGTAGTTTCTAAGCCTTTCTACATTTAGAGACATGCACTGCTTAATATCTCAGGAGTCACGAATGGGTGCGGACATTCTGTAGTAATTTGTGAACATCCCACTTCTGACCTTTATGATGAAAGGAAGGGAATTGATGAAAGCTGCACATTTAGTGCAAAAAGTAAAACTGAAGTATTTGAACCTATCTTCGGCCAGATAGATCAAGTTATTGATCTGTCTTGATGATCTCCTGAGGTCCGAGGTGTCACAGGTGCAGTTTTCAAACAATTTGATTCTACTCCATGAAAGCTAGAAATGGCAAAAGACTATGGGCCCTGTCAACATTCCAGCAATAATACTGAAGAAAGAATTGTGCTTCAGAATTAGCTGTGACCCTAGCCAAACTGTTTCAGTACAGTTTCAATACTGGCATCAGACAAGTACTGGGCAGTGGCCATCTTGAGCATCTCCATGGGAGAGCCTAATCATCACCTCTTGATATTGAGTGGTATTATCATCACTAAATCCTGCATTTTCAGCATCCTGGGGGTTGCTGTTGTCCATAAACCAAATCAAACTCTATTAGCTTCTTGCATACTGCACTGACAAGAATGGGTCAGAGGTTAGGAATTCTGCAGCAAGTTACTCACCCCTGATATCTGAAGGGTCTCAACCATCTACACGGCATGTATCAGGAGCAAAAAGAAATATTATCCCTTTGTCTGGATGGGTGCAGCTCCAACAACACTCCAGAATCTTGACACCATCTGATGCAAAGCAGCTCACTCAATTGCATCCAACCACCACTTTGAACATCTACTCCCTTCACTACCAACACAATGTGGCAGCAGTGTGTGTTTACAATATGTACCACAGCAACTCGGCAAGTCTTCTATGACAGCAACTTTTGAAACCCTCAATCTCTACCATCTAGAATGACAAGCCAGAAGATAATTGGCAACACAACCTGCAAGTTCAGTTTGCAGGTGACAAATCATCCTGACTTGGAACTATATCGTTGTTCTTCAATATTGCTGGGTCAAAATCTTTGAGCTCCCTTCTAGACAGCACTGGGCGTTCCTTTTCCTACAAAATTGGCATCAGTTAAGGAAGGCAAATAGCACTACCTTTTCGAGGGCTGTTTAAAGAGGCAATACATACTGGTCCAGTCAGTGATGTATACATTCCCCTGAATGAGCATTTAAAAACAATATATTGCGTGTGGACTTCCAAAAGGCAGTTGATTCGGTGCTGCTGAACAGAAACTGAGAGAATATCTAGAGTTTAGTGAATGAAATTTAGTGTAGTAATATAGTTAACTTAAAGTAGTGGAAAATGGACCTTTTCTAGACTTCAGAGATTGTAGTGAAACTCCCCATTGGTTGGTGTACAGACCTCTGCTAATATTAAAATCTAGATTTTGGTGTACTGTGCACAATTCTAGAATGTGTGGATTATACCAATCTTGAAAGTATTTTGAACCATGTGGAGGATAATGTGGAACTTCATTAGGTCATAGTCAGATGGGTGGAATGGAAGTTCAAGTAACAAATGAAATTTAATACAAAAGTGATCAAAGGTCTTGAAAACAAAGATTACATGTCTAAAGTGGGTGTAGGGGTATAGGCACCCTGGGTGTATATGTTCATAAATGATTGGAGTTAGAGCAGGATGAGAGTGCAGTTAATAAATTGTACAGCATCCAGGACTCTTTTTCATAAGGGCATAGAGAATAAAAGTAAGTATGGTTATGTTAAACTTAAATAGAATGTTAGTTTGACCTCACTTCGAGTATTATGTCCCTTTCTGGTTGCCACCCTTTAGGAAGGATGTGAAGACGTTAGAGCGAGTGCAGCATCACTTCATAAGAGTGGTATCAGGGATGAAGAACTTGCATTGGGTGAATGATTAAAGATGTTGGGTCTGTTTTCCTTGGAGAAGTTTGAGAGGAGCTTTAATAGAAGTGTTCAAAATTCAGAGGGGTCTGGACAGGATAGATAGGCGAACACTGTTCCTGTTAATGGAAAGTTTCAAAATAAGAGGGCATAGATTTAAGATAATTGTCAAAAGAAGCAGTGATGAAATGACAAAAAAAGTGCTCCCATGCTGCAAATAGTTAGGATCATGAATGCACAGCCTACGGGTATGGTGGAGGCAAGTTGAACTGGGGCATTCAAGAGAGAATTGAACATCTTCCTGTAGTCCTGCACATTCTTTTTAAGGTAGAAGTATGGGAAGTGGCATTAGCTGCATTACATTTTTGACAGCATTGGCCAAATGTTCTCCTACTGTGCTGTATGTTTTCTGTGAGATCTTTTTAAATAAAAATGCTCGCAATACACAGCAGTCCAAGCATCTTTAGCAGAGCAAGGAACAGAGTCAACATTTTAGATCCGTGCTTTTTCATCAGAACACATCTTTCTTATTCTCCCACATAAGGTAAATGTCTTTTTTTTTTCAGAATTCTCATTCTGGAAATACGTTTTCATTAGTTAAACAAGCAACAGAGATTCCTCCATTGGAAGAAAAAATTCTCTCTAAAGAAGAGATCATGAGATACAGCAGACAGCTCATCATCCCAGAGTTTGGAGTCAAAGGTAATAGTGGAAATATTTAGAATGAATGTAAGTTATGTAAGTTCATAATATATCAAAGTTATGAGACTTAACAATTCTAGTACTGGACAAGTAATGTCAGCAGTCGAGTTGAAATTTCAGGTTGGAAAGTTGTGAATTCAATAAATCGAGCATTTTGTGAGCTATCAAGTAAATTTGAATTCTCTTTGGGGGGTTTTGTAGGTTCAGAGTTGCTTAAACGACTGGTGAGATACCTGGGTAATTCTCTCCTTTACCTTATCAAATTATATGGTGATGACAGCTTCCAAAGACCATATTTAGCTGATGTTCTTGCTATTAAAAGCAAATTTAGTTTTTTGGTTTACAGTTATGTTTTCACAGGAAAATAGTGCTTCACTGTAAAGCAGATTTTAAATTAACTTTTTAATACTGGATGGTGTGACAATCCTGTTGAAAGCCTTTATCGTGAAGATTGATTTCACTTTAACCGCTTTCAAGCATGCTTAAAATGCTGATTATTTTTTCAGAAAGGGATGGTGAATTTGAATTTGTTTGGAGGGCTGATATTGTGTTGATACCTAAGTGAAAATAGATCTGTGAATAAGTCATAGGATTTGGATTACTGCTTTGACTTGTCTTTTTTTTCAAATGAGCGACATGGTGGCTCACTGGTTAGCATTGTTGCCTCTCGGGGCCAGGGACCCGGGTTCAATTCAAGCCTGAGACAACTGTCTGTGCGGAGTTTGCACGTTCTCTTCGTGTCTGCATGGGTTTCCTCTGGGCGCTTTGATTTCCTCCCATAGTCCACAGATGTGTAGGTTAGGTGGATTAGCCATGGGGATTGCAGGGATGGGATAGGGTAGGGGGCAAGTCTGGGTGGATGCTGTTCAAAGAGGTGGTGTGGACTTGTTGGGCTGAATAGCATGTTTTCACACTGTAGGGATTCTATGAACTTCTATGAAAACAGAATTATGAGGTGCAGTTGCAGAAACATTTCTGAGGATAACAGATCTAGTGATTTTGATTAAGCAATAGCTGTTATGCTTATAGCCTTACTGTCACATTGCTGATGTGAGAGAAGTTGGACTAAGCCAGCTCTAAATTATTCCAATAATAACTGTTAATGTTTTTCCAACCTTTTGTAATTTGGCGATTTTTGAATGTCCCATGTTGTAATGACTAATTTATTTCCACATATGGAATTCTCAACACAAGATATAATCCCAATTGACTAAAGTAATGATTGTTCCATTGCTTTGATAGATGAGTGTTCAGCAAAAAAGCAAATAAAGATCAGTTTGCAGTCTAGGTAGATACATGTACTGTGTTGTACTGTTCTACGTTCTATGTAATCTCCTATTGCAAATGCTACATATGAAGTGCTTGTCCTAAAGTCACCTGACTCTTCCCTTAAATGTTGAAACAGCTCGAGAGCAGAGACTTTTCCATTTGTGTCTGTCCAGGGTTACGTTCCCCCATTGTTCAGCTTGAAAGCTCTAGCAAACTGAAGTTATATCTAATTTTGAGATGTCCTGTGGTCTGGGTTCCCACGAATACCTGATTGTAAAGTACTACCCTTTTTGTTATGTGGAAATTCTTCATGCAAACCCAGACCTCATGACTGATTCACCAAGGTCGAACTCGGTCAAACATTGATGCCAGGTATGCAGCATTTTGCAAAAACCTCAGAGCTGGACGTTTTGTCATGCTATCCTGATGTTACAAACAGATCTGGGACAGTGAGGGTGGAATGCTTCTAATTGTTTTATGTGATACTGTGAACTAAAGCATTAGTGCAATTTTGTAATAATTATACATTTGAATTGTAATCTAATTTAAAATCTCCATTTTTACATTTAGCCAGTCACATACAAATGTTTAGAATAGATTGGGAATCACTATTGCACCCTGCGGTGGAAGTGCCTAGCTTCTGATGAATTCACTGCCATATTAGAAACTGAGAAAACATGTCTTGATATGCTACACAGTACCAAAAGAAAAGTTGGAAATGATTTACATGCTGGAAAAATGTTAACCCAACACACAGAAACAAAATGAAATTTTCTCTTATTCCTTCCACTGACCTGTAAGCATTTCAAACTAAGCGTTTTTTAAAAAGAAAATCGTATACCTGTATCTTCATTGTAAAATGGTGAGACTTTCAGCTTCATGAGACAGGGAAGCCATGAACCCATCAAAATTGAAAATGCCAGGCAAAGTACCATTTACTCTTGTAACAAGTATTTTGAGTAAAAGTGTAGACTTTTTATATTTGAATTTCCTGTTAGCAAAATTGTGCAATATTCCCTTGGAATTAGACAAACAGGCTGTTTGTTCTAACTAGCCCATGTTGTGTTGCGTTTTATGTCATTTTTTTTCTATCACCTGCATATTCCTAGATCTTTACATGGTCTTGTTTCAGTCACCAATACCAGAAGAGTACCCCATATCTTCTCGATCTTTGGTGTTTAAAATATAATTATAACCAAGTTAAATGTCACACGTGCCCTAATACTGGATTAAACAAATAAATCTATTGGCTTCATAGTACGTAGAGTGTAGTTCAGTGCTCAAGATGTTTCTAACTTTAAATTAAAATGTTTTAATGCTTTTAGGTCAGCTGAATCTGTCCAAGAAGGCTGTTCTGATTGTTGGATGTGGAGGGCTAGGCTGCCCTGCAGCTCAATACTTGGCTGCTGCAGGCATTGGTAAGTTCAATCTAGGTCTTGAACTTTTACTTCATTTTTCTTGAAAAGATTTTGCACAAGCAGCTTGGGAGGGACTTTATGACGGTTATTATAGGTCAACAAAACAACAAAACTATAAAACTTTGGTCATCTGTGAACAACTACTGCTTGTGTGAATTGTACTAATTTTCAGAGGGATAAATGACTTGCTATGTGGGATATGACGCACAATATATCCCATGGGTCAATCCTTTATCTGCAATTTTTCACCTCATACATTAATGACATGTTTAAAGAAACAGTGCATCCAAATTTGCATATAATACTGATTTGGAAGCCAAAGTGAGTTGTGTGGATGGGAAAAGCAATATACAAAGGAACATAAATGAGTAAATCTATAGCAGATGGAGTTCAATCAAGTAAAAAATGAGGTTATCTGAAATGACAAAATAGAATACCTTGCGGTGAAGAGCTGGGAGGTATGGTGGACCAAAGGGATTTAGGCTTCTTTGGACACAAAGACGAAGGCTGGTGCACAAGGATAAAATGTAATCATAAATGCTGTTGAAATATTGCCCTTTATTCTCAAGAGAACTGGAACTCAAAAGTAAGGAAATGATGTTTCAGTTACACAGATTCTTAGCTGGAACCTATCTGGAGCAATGCTTCAATTTTGATGACTCAACTTCAGAAAAGATTTGTTGGTCTTGGAAAGGGTACAGCCCTGGTGCACATGAATGTTATTGTGGCTTAAAATGGTAAATTATGAATTTGGAGAAACAAATCTTGACTTTGTTTGAGTTTAAACAATTGAGAGGTCGTCTCAATGAGGCAGTAAAATGATTAACGTATTCATTATAGTAGATGCAGTGAACTTAGAGCTGGGAAATTTGGGAATGTAAATCTAGACGCAGTTTTCACACAATGGGTGGTGGGAACCTGGCAGCCTGTCTTTTCTGAATAGATTGTAGGCTTTAGGACTGTTGACATTTTCAAAACTGAGTGTGAAGAATTTTAGTCAGGCATGTGTAACTGATGTGGATGCATGGATGTGGAGATGTTGTACAGATAAGCCATGATTGAATTGAAAAATGGAACAAGTTTAAGGGGCTGAGTTGTCTACTCCTATTCCTATCTTCCATCCCTAGATTTATAATTTGACAACAATATCAACACGTCCATTTCTGACGAGCCCTTGCTTATCCATGGAAAAGTATTTTGATCATTAATAATCATTTTATACCCCATTTACTTTCCAGAGCTGCTTCAAAGAGAAGCGGAGATAGCAAGAACTGCAGATTCTGGAGTCAGAGATAACACAGTATGGAGCTGGAGGAATACAGCAGGCCAGGCAGCATCAGAGGAGCAGGAAAGTTGATGTTTCGAGTCGGGATTCTTCTTCAGAAATTTCTGAAGAAGGGTCCCAACCCGAAACGTCAACTTTCCTGCTTCTCTGATGTTGCCTGGCCTGCTGTGTTCTTCCAGCTCCATACTGTGTTATCAAAGAGAAGCAGTTCCTTAGTAGTTTGGAACTCCTCTTCCTACGGAATAAAACCCATTTATATTGCAGGACAGATTTTGTGGTATCTGTAGCAATAGAGAAACATCAGGATTCATTAACATGTTAAAGTACTGTCGGTTAATTGGGGCTGTTACCAATGGCAGTGCCCTCATTAAACCCCGAAATATTGTGTAGGCACCAGAGGTATGAAAACGACTTCACTTGCTCTGGGCCAAGATGACTTCTTTTGAGTATCTTTTGTATGTTGGATCCACTGTAAGTAAAATCTGTTCAGCAATGTATTTAAATAGAACTGAGGGGTAGGGAGCGGGGAGAGGTAGACCGAACTTTTGCGGAGGTATTATAATGTGCAAATGTCAATTTAGGTCGATTAGGACTCCTTGATTATGATGATGTGGAACTTACTAACCTACAGAGACAGATTCTCCATGCAGAAGATAAATTAGGCATACCAAAAGCATTGTCTGCAGCAGCGACAGTAAGTCAGTAAGTATATTTGTTTATGTCTCTTACTTTCTTTGATCACTCTAAATTTAAAAAAAAGGTTTTCTTCTTGGGTACAGCATTAAGCAAGCATCTTCCATGGTTGACAGATTTCAACAGCATTCCTGTAACATTTGTTACGCATTAATTTTCTCCCTTTACTAAACCATTTTAAGGTATTGTCTCCTTGATGGTATATGGGTTTCATGGTTGTAGGTCACTTCCTGGAAACTCACCAAATCACCGCTTGTTCATGTAAGTTGTGCTGTGCCTTGTACATGTTAAAGACTTTGTCTTGTTCCTCTGTGAGATACTCATACATTCAGAAAAAGTAACGGATAGTGATTGTGTTGTGCCAGTTTTTTTGCTTCTTTCTTATATCTAGGATATTCTGATAGTCATACAGCACAGAAACGGACCCTTCAAACAAACTTGTATGCGCTGACCCAATCTGACCTGGCCCCATTTGCCATCATTTGGCCCATATCCCTTCCTATTCATAAAAGCATCCCATCCAGATGTTTTTTAAATGTTGTAATTCTACCCACCTCCACTAGCTCCTCTGGCAGCTCATTCCATAACACATCACAGTCTGTGTGGTAAAAGTTACCTTTTTTAAATCTTTCCCATCTTGGCATAAACCTATGCCGTCTAGTTTTGGACTACTCCACCTTGGGGAAAAAGTCCTTGGCTATTCAACCTATCCATGCCCCTCATGATTTTTATAAACCTCTAAGGTCACCCCCTCAGCCTCTGTGCCAAGGGAAAAAAGCCCCAGCCTAATCACCATCTCCCTGTAAGTCAAACCCTCCAGTACTGGCAACATCCTTGTAAATCTTTCCTGCACCCTCTCAAGTTTGACAACGTCTTTCCTATAGAAGGGCAATCAGAGTTGTACTCGGTATTCCACAAGTGACCTCTCCAGTGTCCTGTACAGCTGCAACATGACCAATCTGTACTCGATGTTCTGATGTTCACATAATATTAGACGAGTGAATTGGCAAAGTTTTTAATTCTGGTTCCGAGCCTGACTTGGAACTTGAATTACAAAAGGGTAACTCCTTTAAATTTGACAGAAGTATTTTTACCTATATGTGCTTTGCAGCATGTCCTCACGTTGATACCGTTGGTATCACTGGACAGCTATGATGGAGGTGGCCTTTTAGCGAGCCTATAAAGATCTCAAGTGGATGTTTTAATCAGAGCAGGTCTGTTTGAAGGTCCAGACAACCCCTATCCTTTGTAGAGGGCTGGAAAAGGGAGGGACTTGCTCACAACCTGGATCCAGGAAAATGCAGCCACAGCTCATCTGTACTGGTGAATATAACCTAGTAGTTACAGCAGGTTATCTTTAAATTCAGGTCCCATCATAGGAGTTAACTTCAACAACCCTGGTCATTTATAGGTAGGTCATGCAGCAGCTGGAGCTAAAGGGAGAGACTGAATAGGCTGGGGCTATTTTCCCTGGAATATCAGAGGCTGAGGGGTGACTTTATAGAGGTTTCAAAAAAAAATCATGGGCATGGATAAGATAAATAGGTAAGGTCTTTTCCCCAAGGTGAGGGAATCCCAAAAGTAGAGGGCATAGGTTTAAGGTGAGAGGAGAAAAACTTAAAAGGGACCCGAGGGGCAACTTTTTCATGCAGAGGGTGGTGCGTGTATGGAATGAGCTGCCAGAGGAAGTGGTGGAGGCTGGTACAGTTACAACATTTAAAAGGCACCTGGATGGGTATATGAAGAGGAAGGGTTTAGAGGGATATAGGCTAAATGCTTGCAAATTGGACCAGATTTATATAGGATATCTGGTCAGCATGGACGAGTTGGACCAAAAGGTCTGTTTCTATGCTGTAAATTTCTATGACTATGAAGGCAAGCACGCCAAATGTCGTCTTCACCTTGTGTACCTGCCATTCCACTTTCAAAAATCTGTGCTGCTGCACCTCTATATCTCTTTGTTCAGTAACACTCCCCAGGGCCCTACCGTTAACTGTATAATTGCTGCCCTGATTTTCCTTTCTAAACTGTAATCCCTCACATTTATCTAAATTAAACTCCATCTGCCACTCCTCAGTTGGTGCAGCTTACTGCAGTCCTGATTGAGATCAGCTAATTCAACACAAATTGCAAATAGAATCTAAGACCTTGTGTGTCTTTATTGCTGAGCTGCTAGCTAAATTAATCTCACCTGGAGAAGAGAAGAAATAGTTATATAACAAATATTTATTGACTAGGTTTTTAAAGAAAGGAAAGACTTGAATTTATTTATGCTTTTTATGACCTTGGGCATTATCACATGTTTTGCAGCCAACAAGTTACTTTCTTAAAGTGCAATCCCCTGCAGTGTAGCCAAATGTAACAGTCAGTTTATTGAATGTTAAATTTAGTCATTCCATCATTGACACTTCAGCTACATGTGCCTATTCAGGTGGCTGCAAAAAAAAAAGTCTCATGATACGATTCAGTGAAACTGTTTCTGATGTTTTGGCCAACATTTGTCCTTCAAACAAATCGTTTGTGAGAACTTGCTGTATGGAAACGAGCTAATGCAATTCTCACATTCCAAAATTTCAATGGGAACATTTCAAAAGTACTCCGTTAGCTGAGAAGTGTTTTGACATGTCCTGAAGTAGATGTGTGTTTTCTGTTGTGGTACTCCAATGTGAAGGCTATTCAGATGGTTGCGAGATATCAGAGAGATTTAGTGTTCGGTGACTTAGATTCAGTTCCTTCATCCTCTGGGGCTGTGGTGACTTTACCTTGCACTACACCACAAACAATACAATATTCTTAAAATGGTAAAGTGGAACTAAGGACTGCAGATGCTAGAAATCTGAAACAAAACAAATTGCTGGAGAAACTCGGCAGTTTTGGTAGCATCTTTGGAGAGAAAGCAGAATCAACATTTTGGGTTCATCGACCCTTCATCAGAATTAGCAACTAGGAGAAGGTGGCATATGTACTGAAGATGACATTATGGGGGAGGGGTATGTTAAGGAGGGTAAAGGAATGAGGGAATAGGTGGAGATGGAGCCCCAAGGGAGACACTGATATTTAGGTAAAGAAAGGGATGGTTAATGGTATGACAAGGAGAAAAGCTGATAATGGAGACCAGAAGTAGGTGAAAATGGGTTGGCTGCGCTGAAAGCAGTCCATGTGATGACAAACCATGGGGTGTGGGGGTGGGTGCGGTTCAAGGACGTAAATTTTAGGGCCTGAACACCACCTTTTAACTTGATTTTGAGTCAGAAGGCTACAGGGTTCTTGAGCTGAAAGAAAGATGCTGTTTTTCAGCTGTGCTGAACCTCATTGGAACACTACAGCAGGCCGTAATATTCTTAATGTCCCTTTAATCCTGGACATTCTGTACTCACAGCATTTTGAACTTTGCTTTAAAAGCTGGATGATTATTGCAGACAATTCACGATTTGTTCAATCAGCCAAGTCAATAGGGAAAGAGCAGGGGAGTGAGAGTGGGATTGATTCAGTAACTCTGCCAAAAGATCATCACAGTCGCGTTAAACCAAATAGCATCTTTCGGTGTATGATTATAACTTCGCTATTGATTTCATAGTTATTTTACAAATTATAAAAAGTTATTATTGTTAAAACCTTAGGATGAACAACTGCTTAAAAATGTAATGAGAATACACTAAAATTGCTGAGTGCTACAAGTCCAGTAGATTAATAGTAATTAACATTGTATAAGTTGTGCATTAATTTTAAGACAGTCTGTTCAAGACATCTTTTTGCTGACTAGATTGGTAAGTTTGTAAAAATTATTTCCAAATAGAATACCATGATGAGATACATAATTTAATGTTTTTCCAGTTTGGTTGCTGATTTAGAACTTCACATTCTCTTTAAAATGACTAGTTGTTGGATTAGGGTTCCATAGTTACTCGTCACCCTCTCGTACTGTGCCTGGGTTGCCGTTATCTGTGTGTAAATCTTGCTGGTGAATGCCAGGAGACAAATCCCATAGCATCACAATGTGGAAAGCTTGATTGATGCCCTTTTGAGCAGGAATTTATCCTGGTTTAATGCAGTTAAGATATTCCATTGGATACCCTCCTGTTAAAGGTGCGACTATTTCTTTCCTTTAACTTTACCAAATTACCCAATTTTTCAATTTACATTTTGTCAACTTGCCTATTATTAAAGTTTTAATTGGAACTGTTCATTCTTTTCCTTATGATGTTGCAATTTCATGTAGCAGATGCTGACTTATTGTTTTTTGGGCCAACCCTGCCTTAAACCTGTAGTATTTTCTAATCTCCCCGAATTTTCCTGATTTAATGTTAGGTATATTGCAGTTATTAATGTAAAGTTAGCTTTTAATAATTTGCTTGAAATAAGGCTCCCTCTAGAGTAACCCTATATTGTGCATTAAGTACAGCTTCCAGCTCCCTTGCTTTTCTTACGTTGGCCATGTACATCCTTGACTAAGATTAATTGACATAAAACAGTCAATGTTAAATCATAGAAAGCTTCCTGTGTTTAACCTATGCAGACTGTGAAACTACTAAAGCAGATTTCACATTGGACTATTAGTCAACTAATAAAGGGAAGTTGCAGTTCATCAGTTTGGATTGTATTCAAAACCACGAGAGCTAAAAAGATTGTGCAATACAGTGTCATCACAGTTCATGAAACAGTTATTTGTATAGGCCTTTCATTTGCAGAGCATGATGATGCCCTCTGTTGCTCTGTATAGGGCATTGCACAACTAATACCTCTCTCCCCTTCCTGGACCCCTCTGTCTCCATATCGGGCAACCACCTAGAAACCGATATTCATTTCGAGCCCACCGACTCCCACAGCTACCTAGAGTACTCCTCCTCCCGCCCTCCTTCCTGCAAAAATGCTATCCCCTATTCCCAATTCCTTCGCCTCCGCCGCATCTGCTCCCAGGATGAGGCATTCC